CTTTTCAGAGCAGACTCACCAGTCAAAAGCAAAAAATTGATGTGACAATAAATCATTTGCGATTTGTCACTCATCGTTGTGTCTCTTCATCGTGTGCTTCAGTTAGTTATTGACTCAACCTTAATGTAAAACATCAGCAGACACGGCGATGCATTATTGATGAACAGCTCTGCTTCTTCAAATCACTGCAAACATCTGCAGTGAACGTGTGAGCCGTGTTAGCCAGATTTTGAATTGCGGCCGTTTAAAAGTGTATTTAATGTTTTAATTTATCTTTTCAACGAGAGCTGAATCCTACGGTGGCCCATCCATCCATTTTCTGAACCCGCTTGTCCATGTGGGGTCGCGCGGGGGTGGGGGGTGGGGGTGTTGGTGTCTATCTCCAGCAGTCAATGGGCAATCAGACGGGGTACACCCTGGACAGAGAGCCAGTCCATCGCAGGGCAACACAGAGACACACAGGACAAACAACCATGCACACACACACTCACACCTAAGGACAATTTAGACAGACCAATTAACAGTCATGTTTTTGGACTGTGGGAGGAAGCCGGAGTACCCAGAGAGAACCCACGTGTGCACAGGGAGAACATGCAAACTCCATGCAGAAAGATCCCAGGCTGGGAGGCGAACCCAGGACCTTCTCGCTGCAAGGCAAAAGCTCTAGCCACTGAGCCACTGTGCAGCCCCCTACGGTGGCCCTGAAGTGCAAACCCGTATGAATCTGTTTCTGGCAACATTAGTTCCTTTGTGCTTTTGCAACACCTTCTCAGCATCATCGGTGCAGATCAAATACAGTGAAGAAAAAGAGGAGGAGGAAGAGGAGGAGCGGCACATGGAAACTAAAACACTATTATAAGAGAGGATTGAAGAGGAGAGCACAGAGGAGGTATGCTTCACCAAGCTGAACTCTAGTAAGTCAGAAGTATCCCCAGGATAGCCGTTTGTCTTTCTTGCCAACCAGGAAGCACCTGATTTCTTTACTTAAGCGCACAAATGTGTTGCTACAGAACACCCCTCCTTCCCGTGCCCCCATTTTCTATCCAGCACACTCCTGTTTCCTTTCCCTCACACGTTTTCACTTTTTCATCGGTCTTATTCCGTTTCTCGATAGGAGAAGAATTCATCTTCACAATTCCATAAACGTACGGGATCATACTCGGACTGGCCGCTCATCTTCTCTTCCAACCTTTATCTGTTTATTAAAAAATAAATCATCTCAATATGAAATAGGAAACATTTAGAAACTGTGACTGAAAGTTTTTGTAGTTTTCAAAGAAAGTGTCAGTAATTTAGACGCTAAGAACAGGCGGTAGTTTAATGCTAAGCTGTCCTTCAGCCGACAGTACTTAGAAACGAAGAGGGACGTAATAAGAATGCAACATTTTGTTACAGCTTCCTATAAAAGCAACACACACAAACTGTTTTTTTTATTAATCTTGTCTGATAATAAATGAATCAACAGTCTTGGCTTCACGCTCTTATTGCCTATCAAATCAAACTATAACCAACTGCAGCACAATGTGGTGCTGAAATGAGCATTTTACTGCTGGCCTGTTAAAGTTGTTATAAAAATATGTCGATGTATCCGTTTTACGACATTATTAGCTTGTGTTGGGAAAAAACTGTCAGCGGTGTTCTAAATAGTAGAACAGTACACATTTCCTCGGAGGAGTTCTGCTGTGTGGTGGTTGCCAGTCCATCGCAGGGCAACACAGAGACGCACAGGACAAACAACCATGCTTGACACAGCTAAGGACAACTTAGAGAGACCAGTCAAATTGACAGTAATACGGGAGGAAGCCGGAGTACCCAGAGAAAACCCACGCGTGCATGGGGAGAACATGCAACCTCCATGCAGAAAGACACCAGGCTTAGATTTGAACCTGGGACCTTCTTGCTACACGACAACGGTTCTAACTCCTGCACCACTGTGCAGCCCGAGTGACCAATTATAATCATTAGAAAATGTTTTTTTTTTGTGTTCCACACCTTTAAAGACAACCATTTTTAATGTCAACTCAAAACAGACTCTAATGGGCTCAACACACGGGAGGCGACATTGTCTCTCCTCCATTCATTTTCAATGAGACAAGCGCGACAAAGCGATAATCGCGAGTCTCCCTCCTACTAAGCGAAACGCAAAAAACGTGCATGTGAAATTTTGCACTCGTGCACGTGTCGTGCACAGGCGACCCAGCGACTTGATCCCAGAAAGTTGAAATATTTTCTACTTTTCTTCGCTGTCGCTCGGACGAGGACCAATCAACGGTGGTTTCATTCACTGACCAATGAGCGGGCAGGATGCTCCGTACATCTCCGAGCAAACATGGAGGAGAAGTTGATACTTGCTGTGACGGATTTCCCGGAACTGTACAATATTTCTACCAAAGAATATAGAGATTTTCACAAAAAGGCCGCGGCATGGGAAATTGTTGGTGCCAGAACTCTAGCAGTACCTTGTGAAACATCATATCTACCGCTTTTTTTACTCTGAACCGCTTAAATAACCTTAATTCCCCCCAACCTGACACAGCCAATCAAAACAACGGAAGATTGCAATTTTGCCATGGAACAGAACGCGTCGACGGCTTTGCCGCTGGTGCGGGTCGCCTCCCGTGTGTCAGGTAATAAAAGCGACAGCGATGAATTTCGCTGATCGCGGTCGTTTGTTGCCTCCCGTGTGTCGAGCCCATAAGGAAGGAATGGTTGGTTGCTACAGGTTAGCCTAATCCAAAATGATCGTCAGAGCTAATCGACATTAACCAACACAAAAATGATCACGAGGCCTGGTTCACATTGCAGGATTTGCAAATTGAAGATAAAAGAATGATGGATATAACTGTTCTGGTCCTATAGTGTGGTGTCAACTACACACGAGCCGATTCCACTGGTCGGACGGGAAATCTCTCTAAAACTTTCAAGCTCAATGGGACTTTGGAGTAAACAAATATGGTGGAGGTGGTGCCGGATACCATCGCGTCACTTTCTGATTGGCTACACATCACATCCAACAGGCACCATGCTCGTTTGTACTCAAAATCGGACCAAAGAAATCCATCATGTTGAATATGCCCAGTTTGTGATCCAAGTTAACACACCACACTGCAAGAGTTTCTGACAAATATTATTTTTGAGCTTGGGTGCATCCTTAAGATCAAAACAAAGTGTCAAAAATCAGCATCTTCAGTCAGTTTTAAAGATGCTAAGCTAAATTTTGACGAAAACATGCTTTAATGACAAATGCATTCCTACAATGATTTCCTTGACTTAGCAAAAATCCATGAAACACAGTTGCTCCTAGAAATAGCTGTCAGCTGTGATCTTGTTCTTGCTCTGTGTCAAACACACTTCACACCCACATGCTTTAACACGGTGGTACTCACTCCTGGTCCTGGAGGGCCGGTATCCGGCACCTTTTGGTTTTAACTCTGTTTCAACACACCTGATGTCAGTCAGCAGGTGATCAACAGGCTTCTGAAGAGTTTGATGAGCTGCTGCACAGGTGAATCAACCACTGACTTAGGTGTGTTGGAGCAGAGGAACAAGGAAATCATGCTGGATACCGGCTCTCCGGGACCAGGAGTGAGTACAACTGTTCTAACAGAAGCATCAGTAATGCTTGTTTGGGCCCAGGTGTCCATTCCCATGGGTCCATTCAGTATGCTGGGCTGTAATCAGTATCATTGTCCAGGAGCAGTGGTGCCTGACCCCAACTAAACCAGCACGGCCCTGCTGCAATAATGGGAATGCTAAACTGCAATTGTGTGTGCAGTGGATTATCGAGTCGCCGTCAGAGAGGAACGGACAATTGGCCGGCTTAACCAACACCTGCTTTTTAAGTCCGCCGTGTGCTTCGGGTAAACAAGGGATGAACGGGAAGTAGCGTGGCTGTGGAGGGCATGGAAATGTGTCACACACATTTTTGTGGTTTCCAACTCCAGAGGAGATTAAATAGTTAGTGACGACACCGGAGGGGTGGATTGATTTTTTCCAATTAGAAACTTGAGGTGGGGGAAACGAGGCTCGCCGACACCGAGCATGCTGCAGAAAGTGTATCAGCAGTCTCCCTCCATGCGATCAATAGGCCTGTGATGCCCTCTTCCCCCACCCCATTGGCCAAGTGGAGAGGAAATGAGTGGGGGAAGGAAGAGTGGAGAGACAGACAAGGAGGAGGGGTGGGGAGGATGAAGGGAAGCAGTGGCGGATTTAACAATTTGGGGGGCCCAAGGCGAACACAGACATGGGGCCCCCTTACACTAAATTTTCTATTATCTTATCTTTAACTAGATTTGCAAAACTTTCTCCTCTTCTGACATGAGTTATTTTCACTTTTTATTAGTCCTCCTTTTTTTTCCTGTCTTTCTCTCCTTTTGAGTGCCTTCAATATTTGCTCTGCTTTCTTCTTCCTGTCAGTGCTCCTGTGCTTTTGCCTTTCTTTCTTATTGGAGCCACTAGGATAACTCCATTTCATGCTTCATGTTTTGACTATCGCTTCGAGTTTGTTACGAACGCTCCCGCCTCTCTTCTTCTTTTTCTGTTTTCTCTTCTTATTATTATTTGTGGTCTTATGGCACTTGGCAAACAACAACTTGGTGCATTACTGCCACCAACTGGATTGGAGTGGAATGACTACCAATCACTTCCTGTTTGTGCATCGGTGTCTTAAAGGAATAGTCCCTTGTGGCATTAACAGAGGAATGCCAGCAGTCAGGGCTACCCCCCCCCACCACCACCACCACCACCACCACCACCATAAGGGGGCCCCAGGTGGCCACCGACCTATGCCTAATGGTGAGAAAGCAGAATGATTTTCCTTTGCTCTGCCTGAGGACCATATTCTCACTCTCTGGATGTCTTTAAAGCTTTCTCAAATCAGCAGCAGACCTCACATTTAACCATTTCCCCCAAGAGTAGTGGTTGAATATTGTCTGCTGACAGATGTACACACTGAAATATGCGATCACTACGTAACCGTGCTGGTCTCCGTTGCATCTTACCTGTTGGCCTCATGTAGTAAGCCTCTATGTCGGCCATGTCCGTGTGCAGGGCACAGTCCAGATAACTCTGGATAACTTTCCTGCTGTAGTAGTAGCGCGCACCCATCAGAACAAAGGGTGCGCAGCAGGTCAGAGTGACAGAGTTGGTCACGTAAAAGCACATCACTATGGAGAAATGGAAGAAAAGTAAACGAAACCTGTCAGAAGAGAGAATCACATGTTTGATTTCTGGCAGTTTTAGCCCAACAGGCAGAATCACATCATCACAGCATCAGTTGGATGCATCAATGCTTATGTCGGGGTCATTAGTAAATGCGACGCTGGGGGGCGCAAAGGGAAACAAGCTGGTTGGATGTTGCGCATCTCAAGTTACTCATCAGTGTGAATGAAATGTTTCACTGAAATGCAAAAATAAGCGATTTCTCAAGCAGGTGAGTTGGTTTTTGAATGAAAAGAGGGAAGATTTGGACTAAGTATGAGCCTAGGGGGAGGGGTGCACCTTTTTTTTCTCTTGGTTACGTGAGCGCACCCTGTGGACCAATCCCAAAACTGATTCACTCATTCATTGTCGGCACCGGCAGGCCCGCCGGTGCTGCACATGCAGCGTGCGCCTTTTGTTGCTGCAACAGCTTCTACAGCCGGATAATGCAGAGACATCAGAATTTTGGGCAACTTCTTTGGATTTAAAAACAAAATGCAGCGAAAATTTGGGAAATACGTTTTAAAACGAGCCTTAAGTTTTATTTATTTAACAGTCGCGTTTGGATGCATGATGCAATTCTTACCTGTCAGAAATGCATATATAAACTGTGTCCTGGGCTGCTGCCAGATCCCCCTGAACGCGGTGTTCGGTATCCGCTCCATTATTCCCTCGTGAAATATCCGCAGCGTCTCCTTTTCATCCTCGCGCTCGAACTCGCGGATAAAAACCGCATCCCCCCGCGCATCCTTCCCCTCGGCGGGGTTTAGAGCCGCGCCGGAGGCAGGAGAGCTCCACATCATCGACTCTTTTTTGGTCCCAGGTATAGCATCGTGTTCATCCGCTACAATTTTAGTCTCGCAAACCATTTTGGGAGACGAACAATGCATGCAACTGGCCGCAAAAAAGACACCCCTCCACACACTCACACACGAGTTCAGGGCGGGCGGGGTGTGCGTAAAAGAGGTGGATAAATGAGTGGAGATGGGTTCAGATTCTCTTAAAAAACAGCGAAATGAGGATGGTGATGATGGTAGTGATGGTAGGGGGATAAGACGAAAGGGGGAGGGTGTTCTGCTGCAACCCTGAGAGTTTCTGAAGACCAAGACTTGCCGGCGCGGTTCGGGCTGTATTTATAGGCGAGCAGAGCGGGTAGATTCGGGTTCAGGGGTTGGGGAGGGTCCTCCCGCCGATCAGATTGGATGGTGCTGTTTGGAGAGGGAGGAGATAGAGAGAGAGGGGGGGTGCGTGTGTATTTTCAGATCGGTGAGGAGGGGTTCGGAGCAGGAGGTTCGTCTACATGATCTTTGACGAGGATGTGCAGCAAAACGGTGCGGAAAGAAGGCGCGATTTAACGCAACTCCATCCAGGTTAAATCTAACTGAAACTCTTGTTTTTATGGGATTTTTTATTTTATTTTATTGCGCAATAAAGAGACGGTGGAGACTCGTGGGCGAAGCAGACTCACAAAGGGCTGACTGACAGCTCTGCTGCACTGCAGTGATCCTCCATGTCTCCACCTAACGCTGCTCCTGTCAAACATCACCCCTACTGACGTTACATCACTATCTATAATGATGATGATGAACCCCATATTGCGTAAATAAGCTTTAATTTAGCCACACATTCTCCTGCACAGCTCCTCAACATGGTGAAGCTGCAAAAGTCCGTTTGAGTTGGGCTCATGCGGAACCCCTCAGCTCAGTCGCATTAAGCTAGAACTAGTTTGAACTGGATCAGAACTAGTTTGCTATTGATAAAGCTGCAGCTGCATCCACCCCCATTCCCTCCTCCTCAAGGTGTCCTCCTCCTCCCCACGAGGAGGAGGGCAGATCTCCTGCGGCGCCCTCAGCTCCTCACACACTCGCATTTACTCCACATGAAAAGGTTGTTAAAAGAGCATTTTTCAGTGTGACAGTGCATCTCCTCATTATACGGTTATGACCGGCTGGATTTGGAGGATGCTCTGAGCATGCGCAGTGTGTCTCTTGGCTTGAATCGTTGTAATGTTGCATTCATGTGCTGTCGGTAATGTTGACACAGAAATAAATGCACAGGAATCCATCAAAAAGTTGATTCTGCCATGGAACCATGGAGTTCAAATGTCTATGTGTAAGGGAGACAGGAAAAGATTCTGTGTTTTTGTAAAGCATTGTATACATAAAGCTAGCATCTTTTGGACAATACCTTCAGACGGTCTCAAAAGTATTGTGAACTTAAAGTACAAGTCATCCCCAAATCTACTTTTTTTCCTGATAAACTATATAAATGTGTGTCTAATCGTGCTGCAGACACGTGTGGACAACGGTTTAGCACTTTATTGCATCTTAGTTAAAATTTTAATTTTCTGCCTAAAACTCAGTGTTGTGCAGTTGTCAGGTAAAAACTCTGCACTGCATTTGAATTTAAATCTGCCATTGCTATTGGCTAAGAGGTACCCTAGAATGTTAGCTGGTACCATATGATGTCACAATGTCGTTGTGAGCCTGTGTGTGCGTGTATTTATTAGCGGCTCCGCCCTCTCGGTCTGCTAGGCAACAGCATTTGTTGCGTTTTTCTAACAGGATGTGGGAGTGGAGTAATGCTCTGGTAGGGGCTAACTTACTCTTTAATAATAAGAGCTCATCAGTCACGTAAATGCTAGTCCGTTTTTTTTTTTTTTTGTTTGGTTAAAATGTTTTTCATCTCAATCTCCTCACTTTGAATTCAAACAAAAGTAATGTGAGTCTTAAATATTAGCAGATAAATTTTGAAGATGAAGAACTAAATTATGATTTAAAGTCGTGTTTCTCAGCTGTAGAAGAGTTCAACAGCTTTTGTTTTGTCTTTTTACAATATCTCGGTTATGATAATGGTTCACTTAGAGGACCAGAGGAATGGTTTCCAGCATCCTGTTCAGCCGGAAAAATGCCCAAACTAAGCAGTCTTACCCTCTGAACGTTGTTCATTTGACATTAGAGGTTCCCATCCAGGCTCTGGGAATCCTAAGAGGGATCCTCACAGGTTTGTTTGTGAGGCTGTGAGGTTACCAAAATTGTATACGTAAAGATTACATTTATAAAACCCAGATAACACACCTTGCACACAAGAAGGTTGGGAACACTGCATTAAATAAACTTGAATGATTTTTCCATTCCTTCTAACAGATTCTCTGAAAATCTCCACACAAGGGCAACATTTTGTTATAATGGTGTCCTGGGTGACCTTTCCCTCTATGTTAGCTTGTTCTTGAGGAAACATCCATGTCCATCAGTCCCCCACTGCTCCAGTCCATCACCTTTGACTTCAGTGACCGAGTAGTCTGCCATGAAGTTCAGGGCTGCAGCATATTTCCCACAGTAAAGGCCCATTACCAGCTTTCTGTCCTGGGACAGCAACATGAATTTAGGACCACATATTTCAGGTGCTATTTTTGTAAGATGAGTAGTGTTGTTAACTTGTTAGGAATCACGTAATTAAACCAAAACGGTAAAGTTTCATTGTAGAGTTTATAACCACATTACTCTTGTTATTTAATATAGGCAGCTAGTGTAGTGTACCATAGCGTACCATCTCTGCCCTGCTTTTCTATGTAACTTAGTCATGTTGTCATTTCTACTGAGTTTGTTCTTAGAAAAGCTGTTCGCTTAGACTAGGGCTGCCCCAAACGATTATTTTATTAGTCGACCAATCGTGTCATGCATAAAGTATAGCTTATACTTATAATATAACTTATATACTAAGATGCAGCGGTTCTAACAAACCCATCATTAGCTTCTAGTTTGAAGTGTGATCTGTTATGTGCCATCTAAAGACAAGACGATAGCTCATCAAACAACAGGGGTCTCATGTCCGTCACCAACAAGTTCAAAATGGCCTCAGTCAGGATGTTTGCTTACCAAGGTGTGCATGTTGTTGGCTTTGTAGCAAACTCGTCCGTTGAAAAGGAGTACTTCTTTATCACTGCAACGTAGCGAGATACAATAAATACAATCCTCATACTAAGCAAGCATAAAGCGACAGTGGAGAGGAAAACTCCCTTTTAACAGGAAGAAACCTCCAGAGGATCCTGGCTCAGTATAAGCAGCCATCCTCCACGACTCACTGGGGATCGAGAAGACAGAGCAGACACACACACACACACACACACACACACACACACACACACACACACACACACACACACACACACACACACACACACACACACACACACACACACACACACACACACACACACACACACACACCAAGCAATGTGTCTATGGTTACATTGTGATTTCTTAGTAAATATTCTATTTGGCGAGAGATAAACTTTATTGTATTTATCCTAGTGAATCTATAATTAACAGGTAAACTAGCAGTAGCACATCCAGCATCTCCTGCAGACCATGATGAGCTATAACATAGCCAAAGCTGCCCTGGGGCGCACTGACAGAAGTGAGGCTGCTGTACACAGACGTCCCTCCGACCACCAACAGCAGGGAAAGCGGGTGAGGTGCCTTGCCTAAGGACACAACAATTGCAACAGATGGGGATCAAACCCACAACCCTTCAGTTATGCGGCAGGCACTTAACTCCTCTTTTGTACCATCCAAATCAATGTAAATTTTAAAAGTATTGATTAATGCTTTAATTTACTTTTCAGATTCGCTCTCCCTGGGTCGCCCTGAACAATCTGAAGCAAAGGTAAGGAAACCTGGGTAACGGCAGTGCCACAAGATGAAGTGGGGCTTTAAGGGACTGAAGAGTCTGATCTTTTGGCGTGTCCTGGAGAATTTCAAACCGCTGCACGCTGATGCAGTCTGATTCTTCAGAAGCAGATAAAAGAAAAGTTGAGAGCTCAAAATGGAGAGGGAGTGGAAGAAAGCTTAAAAGCAGAGGAGTGATTCAGGGAAAACTGTGTCCCCGCATCCATAAATCTCCATCAGTGGGAACCCAGCTGGTTGGATCTGCCTCAGCAGGATAGCTGAGCTGGTCCTGATGCTGAGGTGTGGTAAAAAAAAAATATAGATTTACTTCCATGGTAGAGCCTGGAGGCTGAGAGTCCTGCCAGGCTACTGCAGGTTCTTCACTTCTTGAATCCTCGGTTTTGTCTTTCTGTATCTATTTACAGTGTTTCACCTTAGCTGCTTTCTCAGGGAAGCAGAGAGTGCTGCATCGCTGCGACACAGATGCCAGCATGTCTTTACTCAGCGCTCCTCCTGCTGGTCCACATAGCAGGAATTTTGGTTATTCAATTTTTATTTTGCTGTAATTGTCCCTGTAAAGAAAAAATACTCTGCATAAATAGTGAGTAATAGCCACAACATGTTACTGTGTTATAACGCAAACACGTACAGCAACAAATTACTCTTTTTACAGCAGAAACTACAGAATAATTTGGCCAATAACTAAAAAATGCTGATGTCTCACAGTAGTGTCTCACAAGTGTTGTTAAATACCTGACAGACTTTACTGTTCATTATTTTAAAAATATGGAATCTCATTTTTGCCACTCTGATTAAACATATATTTTATCTCATAATTATGAAATAATAATAATTAACCAAATATAAGAGGATTTTTAAAATGTGAGGTTGTTTTATAATCGGCATTTACACATGCTTATATTAGTCTGGGGGTCATTACATGGCCATAACAGCAGAGGGCGCCAGGCTGTGTGTTCTCAACAGGAGAAAAAAAATGGAGACGAGAGATCTGGAGCAGAGTGGACGAAAGTGGGGCAAGTTAACAAGCTACAAGGCAGAGTCATGATGCTAATTTTAAGATGACGGCGGTCAATTCATCAGAGGCGTCAAACATTGCATTGGATGGCAGTGAGGATGACGTTCTGGGCGGAGTCGGCAGGTGTAGCGATCCGATGGTACACCGGGACGCAGCAGCAGGGCCAGATTAACACTTTGTTGTACCCTGGGCAACAATATTAAAGGGCCCCATCATCACGACCCAAGGATCACCATAATATGGTCACATACAGAACATTTTACTGTAATATGCAGTAAATATACTCAATACTTGAATGCCTGACATCACGTAATCCGCTCAGGGTAACCTTTGACCCACCTTGTGTGGACTGACCAATGAAGAGAGGGTCTTAACTTGAGGCCCTCTCTTCATTGGTCATTCTGCATGAGACTGACTCAACTGACGTTCAAAGTCATAGGCAGCGAAGCGTCTCTGCAGCGCAAAAGCTTGGGTGGACAGTTTGTTGAATATAGGGTGATCATATTTCCATTTCCAAAAAAGAGGACAGGGGATCTGTGCCTATGACATCACACTATGGCAACGCCACACAAACCACGTTGGGACCCATTTTTTTGTAAGAACTAAATAATATCAGATTCTGCTAATAAAAGGGCTCTAAAACAATTCATATGCAACTATTTTGCATATTTATTGCAAAATCTCATTTTTCTGCTTTAGTGCTGCAACAAGGTTTTATTAATAATAAATTATTATACCTTTTGTTTTACTACAGCATCGGTAAGCTTCCTGTGCACAGATTATTAAGGATGCTTGTTTCAGCTGTGAGATTAGACGATAGGATCAATGAAAACATAAGTTGTCACACACTCCATGGAAACTTTCAGAGAATCCACAAATAGTGGCTTTCAAATGGTTTTCCTACTTTTTGCAAGTTTAGAAAATAAACAGATGAGACAGCATGTGTGATAATTTAGTTTTTCATCTGATAATATTAGAACATGTCAGTAATGTCTGAGGGGCTTTTATAAACACTGTATAACTAATACTCCTGGAGAGGGTATGGATTACACAGAGGCTTCTGGGGAGCCCAGTTATGGGGGGTGGGGGTGGGGGGTGGGTGGGGTCATTTAGCCTTGGCCCCCAAAATGTCTTGAAACGGCCCTGGGTGTGTGACTGAGTTTTGAAGGTGATCTGAATTGTATCAGATGTATAATTATAACGTGTATAACTTATTGCTTTATCAGGTAAAACCGTGTAGTGGAGATAAATCTATCTACATTTTACTTTTCAACACTTTGTTTTGTTTTCTTGTTTTTATTTAACTGTTTTCCTGTCCTGTCTGTCTCTCATCTTCCTGCATCTCCTCTTAATTCTCCAGAAAATCTGCTGCCTGGATTCTTACTTTTTCACCTCATCAGTTACTTTTGAGCAGATCAAAGGATCTCCTGACCGTAAAGCGGAGTGCGCGTGTCGATGCTGCATCAGTGAGGTGAAATCACCGCAGCACAGGTGATGAGCTCCGCAGTAGCAGAGCGCTTCAGGTGCAAATAAGACAGAAAGTAGAGAACATGAGCGGACATGAACGATCGTGTGCTAATTATAGGTTTTTGGTTGCGCCACTTTAAGAATGGACCGTGCGCTGGAAGCAGCAGCCTGGATCGCTGCGCAACAACGATCAGCGCTCTGCCGCTCTCTGTGCTCTCTGCTCAAAAGAGTCCATAAATGATGTAATATCGGTAGAAAACTTTTTTCTGGCTCCCCTGGATGTGTAGGATATACAGCTCCCCCATAATTCGATCCCTGCTCCTGGATGAAAAGCCGGACATTTTCATCATTACAAGAACCCCCAGTCCGGACGTCCGGACAGAGTGAAAAGTGGACATGTCCGGGGAAAACAGGATGCACGGTCACCCTAGTTTAATATAAAGCGGGAGGTTACAGATAGGCCTACAGTATTTTGCTCGTGCCCTTGCTGCCCTGGGCAATTGCCCAGTTGCCCACATGGTTAATCTGGCCTTGAGCAGCAGGAGTGAGAATGAGTGAGTGAGTAACATGAGAGGGAGGGGAAGAAGGAGATGGGGCAAACAGAGTGAGTGCGATGTAGAGAAAGCAGACTGGTGTGGAGGTGAGCAAAACGGATGGAAAAGTGTGCGTGTTGAATCCCCCACATCCCCTACGGGTGCGACGCCCATGCGTGTCATGAAAGTTCTGACAGTTTGCATTAAATAGTATTTTTGCTCAGTATTTGTTCTGAAAATTTCAATAAAAAATAGTCGAATTTATAAAGTGATTTTTTGGTTGTATTTTCCTGAAGATTAGTCGGGGGGTGGGGTCTTATAATCGGTCGTCCTATATTCGGGTCAATATGGTATTTTTTTTTTATCAGAGTGGCAGGAATGGGCTTCCATATAATACTAGAAAGTCTAATAGTTTCCTTCCTCATGCAAAAAGTGCTAAATGTGTGCAGATGCATACTTATTTACCTCCAGCACACCAGTGAGGAGGAAGACAAAGTAAAAACTAATTATAAAAACATTTTTCAAGCCCTACTTGATACTTTCACAAAACCTCAAAGAACATTTCGGACCTGTAAATTATCTTAAAATGAGCTTTTGAGAAAATTGTTTTGTCTTTTGCAAAACCGGGACATTATTAAAGAAGCAGTTTTGATTTAATTTCAGTTTGTTTTGCTTTTAATTTTTTTATTCCAGATTTTTGTATTTTATGAGCTTATAGGTTTTTTAAATAAGTTATTTTTGCCACTTTTATAATAAAATTTTCATTGATACAGCTCAAAATCTCATAGAATAAAGAACAAGCACACGATTATTTCATACCTTTATAAGTACAACATTAAGACAATAGATGGCGCTCTTTGTGACACACATATAAGCAAAAAATAAATAAAATAAAAAAGACAGTTATTATTTCTGCCTCCACATTTCCTGCAGCAGTTCTCTCCATCCCTTCTTTCTCCTGCTGATGCTGCAGTTCATCACTTTTTCTGCCATCGCCAGGCGGAAGTCTGCAGACACGTCCATGACAAGTACCCCTGTACATTTACGTAGTTTATACACACAATCTTTATTAACAAGTGAATGGAAAGTGCTGTAAATTCATGCTACAATGCTGTGCTAAATCAAGACCTACGAGCGTTCTTCACTCGACCACAACACCAAATCTCCAGTAATTACAGAGAAAAAGGGAACAAACTTAGTCGTTAGTTACTGAAGCGTTCCTGCAGGCTGCAAATCAACCATTTTAAATCAGTAAAATTACAGTCAGATTCTGATTATCCTAAAGTTACTATTTGAAACTGCCGTTATTACCAGCAGGTAAATAAACTCTATGATGCTACAGTCTAGAGTGTGTAAACAATAATCTCATACAACACAATCCTTCACAGACCTAATCTACATTAAGGTCAGTTACTAGGAAGTACAAAACCGTGTTTGTGTTTTCGTGACCGACGCTGACAACGACTGACTCACAAACATTAGTGGTATAAAAGGTGGCCTGAATAAGGCTAAATGATGACGTGAGTTATAGCTTCACCCAGTTGTAATGATGTGAAATAATAAAATAAAGTGCCTATTGTGAGGAGAAGTTCAGATGTTGCTGTACAAGGGTAGAGGTATGGAGCGGGGGCGGCTGTGGGTGTTTCTGGGTAGGTGGCGGCCTCGTCGGGGCGGGACGGGCTCAGAGCAGAGAGCTGGTGGGCATACAGTCACACAGAGCCCTCCTCTCTGCCCTCAGAACCAACATCTCCGTCTGCAAAACAACAACAAAGCATCATTAACGAGTACAGACAAATGTTTAGCTCAAACCCTAAATAAACACAGACAGTATCAGCTAGTATTTAATTATAAAGCCAATGTTCAATAATGAATGGTTTTTCTTTTTCTTTGATTTCTGGAGATCTTCTCAAGACCCCAAACGTAGCGTTTCACGACCCTCGGTGGGGACCCGACCCCAGCTTGTCACGATCTGCCCCTGCCTTCCTGACTGTGTCCCTCTCCTGCATCATTAGTCCCTATTGGTTTCACCTGCCCCTTGTTAGCCTGCCCATGTGTTCCTCATTTTCCCCGTGTATTTATACCTCCCTCCTTGTTGCTGTCCTTTGTCAGATCATTGTTGTGTTTTCACCGTGTTACGTTTGCTCCTGCTGTACCATCCTACCTGCCATATTAATTAAACCATTTTTATTTTTTCATCCGTTGCCTGCTCTTCTGCCTCCGGAACCCCCACCACACATGGTCCACCATCTCCATCCTTCCAAACGTGACACAGCTTTGAGAACCAGGTTTACCTCTAATAAATGAATGGTTGTTATTAAAGAGAAGGTTTGTTTATTTTGAAACAAGGTTTCTGTAGAAAGGTTAGAAACGTGGAGCCTCTTTGAAAAACCTCGGTTTTGAGAAAAAGACAAGAGCTGTAGCTGGATTAGGCGGGATTTCCACCAGATGCGTATGCGGTGCGTAATGTAATAGTCGCATTTTCCCTGCGACCATGGTGGTGCGTCCGATCCTACTGGGAGAGTGTTTGATGCGCATCATGTAGTAAATTGCGTTCTACACAGCCGGTCCCGCGAGATCACAAAATCACAGGAGAGTTGCAAGATCACATGTGATTTAGTCAGTTCATAGATAAAAATGTCACCATGTATCCTAAAGGTCTGTGGTATATTTCCTGTTCTTTTTACCAAGGACAAGGTACTTTCAATAGTAATAAAGTTTTATTTATTTTTTTTTTTTTACTAGTGAAGCAACTGAAAATCTACACTTGTGTTTTATTTTGAAAGTTTCCAGATTATCTACATCGCCTCTGTGTTTGACTTCCTGTCCGGCCCGATGTGAACTGCTGAGATTGACGCATTCTGTAAGCGGAGCGTGTAAAAAATAAACCCAAAGCAGAGCGACCCAACACTACGCTTCTGGGACACACCGCCTCGTGATTGGTGGAAACAAACGGCGGACATCACCTGACTAATATGCATCCAGTGGAAAGCCAAGGTTAATAAGCTAATAGCAGCAGGGTCAAGACTAAAGTGAGGTTATTCTGTCTTAAATATATTTATTATTTTTTTTTTAATAAGGAAGTTCACACTGAATAACACATTCATGCACATCAGAAACCTCCCTGTTTAAACCATAACATGAACAATAATCCAAACACCACACCTACCCCAGTGTCCACCATCGTCCATCGTATTGCTAATCTGAA